TGAACCTTTGGGCGGCGTTATGCAAATCTTCCCACATTGTGACGTAGACATATGGGGGCGTGTTAGAATGAGCCGTTTTAGGTTGGCGTGGTTGACTCTTAACTTTTATAAAGAATATCTCTTTTGATTTGAGACTTTAGTCTTTGCAACTTTACAGATCTTCTTTATGCAGCAAGAGCTTGTAACACTCCAAAGAGAAAGGAAAAATTTTCATCGCATCATATGACGCCTTTAACACAAGCTTCAAACACAATTTTCATGTTTAAGACATGAAATAAATCATTAATAAGTTTTAAAAAGCTTTTACTTGTCTTGAAAAAGTTTGTTGCAAACAAGCGGCTAAATGGGACTACAGAGGAGGTTGAAGTCAATAAACATTATCACATCCCACATCTACTCACTAGTCCACTTTTACAGTCTAGTTGTGTTCATAATCGAGCTCTTACAGGCTACTCTAACTGAAACTTTCCAGGAAAATATATTTTAAATAAAGACTGAAAGAGGTTTCAGAAGGTGGTGACATATAAGTCATGCAACTGTGGTTTAGTTCAGTAATAGCCTATGTTTAGCTGGCGACTGAATTTACGTTTCAAAATGAGTTCTCATGATAGACAAAACGTGTAAGAATCATACACTTTTGTTGGTCACGGAGTTTATTTTCTACAATGATCCCAAAGCCAATGGAAAAATTATTTGGGGCTTTTGTCATGGAACCAGGGTGATGCTACCTTACGGGTCGACCTACAAAAATACGTCATCACTGCAGCAATCTATTGGTGAAGGCTGGTAAAAACTTCAAATCAAGACACGGGATGTCAGGCCTATATATGTGCTGCTTCTTAAATAAATTCTCTTTGGATCTTAAAGAGTTTTATTGAGTTCAGATTCTCATTATGCAGGGGTATATAAATATTTGGACTCAATAAAACTCACGAGATACAAAAACATCCCCAAACTATCCCAGGTCAACATCTCCTGAAGAATTAAAAGAGACTTTATGTCTGATTTCTGCCATATTAAACTTGTCTCGTTTAGAATAAAGAAAGGGGCTTAGTTCACAATATGGGAAATATCAATGGCTAACCTGTTTGAGCTGATCCCTTTGATGTCTCCTGGGGACTGCTGGAGCGATTGCGGTTCGGCTGACGTCGTTTGCCCACAGACCGGCCAGTTCGGATATGGACTTCACTCACTTTGAAAAAGGCCACCATGAAAGGCTGCCTCTCCAGAGCGCCATAACGACCTACTAAGCCCGCTTCCTTAGGATTTATGCTCCACCCTTTAAAAAGAAGAAGTGCTATAAATGCATTATCCTTGTCCATTAAACTAAATCAAAATGAACAGAAATTAACTCTGAGTCACCAAAGGAAATAAAAGTGAATAGGTTGAACTAGCCAAGGAGGTCTATACTGTATGACACATTGAGAAAACAATCATTCCCATTCATCTCACTGGCACTTGCTTGGTTGATGCAGGACTCCTTGGCTGTTCTGCCATCTGCCATCTTTGCACATGGCAGCTCATAGGCATTCAGTTTTGAGTCAATCACCTGAGCTACACACATATATATGTTAAACTCATCTTAAAATCATCTTACCACTGCTGGTCTCCACACTGATCTGTAGACCCAGGTTATGAAGTGGACTCATCACCCAGAGATTACTAGATGCTGTGATGTCAAACTCCAGCCAACCTTCTTCAGCTGCCCACAACCTGCGAGATTCTAGCAGAAACAGGTCGGCATCCCTGCAAATAAGCAAGTCCGAAGATCGTTAACTGTTATAAACACTATTTACACAAATCTATGATCCCCTTTTAATTGTTACATATTATTTATTATTATTAATAATAAAGTAAATTTATTTATTTATTATTTTTTAACACCATGTCAGCAGCAATACTATCTTTATTTTGAGAACAAAGTGAATAACAGGAAATACAGTACAAATATATAAAATAAATGCTAATAACACATTGGTTTGAGACCAAGATAGAACTTTTTGGCCTTAATTCTAAGCGGTATGTGTGGAGAAAACCAGGCACCTGTCCAATACAGTCCCAACAGTGAAGCATGGTGGTGGCAGCATCATGCTGTGGGGGTGTTTTTCAGCTGCAGGGACAGGACGACTGGTTGCGATCGAGGGAAAGATGAATGTGGCCAAGTACAGGGATATCCTGGACGAAAACCTTCTCCAGAGTGCTCAGGACCTCAGACTGGAACTAAGGTTTACCTTCCAACAAGACAATGACCCTAAGCACACAGCTAAAATAACGAAGGAGTGGCTTCACAACAACTCTGTGACTGTTCTTGAATGGCCCAGCCAGAGCCCTGACTTAAACCCAGTTGAGCATCTCTGGAGAGACCTAAAAATGGCTGTCCACCAACGTTTACCGTCCAACCTGACAGAACTGGAGAGGATCTGCAAGGAGGAATGGCAGAGGATCCCCAAATCCATGTGTGAAAAACTTGTTGCATCTTTCCCAAAGACTCATGGCTGTATTAGATCAAAAGGGTGCTTCTACTAAATACTGAGCATTTTTCAGTTTTTCTTTTTTAATAAATCTGCAAAGATGTCAACAATTCTGTGTTTTTCTGTCAAGGGTGGGTGCTGTGTGTACATTAATGAGGAAAAAAAAATTAACTTAAATGATTTTAGCAAATGGCTGCAATATAACAAAGAGTGAAAAATTTAAGGGGGTCTGAATACTTTCCGTACCCACTGTATATATATATATGTGTGTGTGTGTGCGTGTGTGTGTGTGTTATGAGCTATTTATTTATTTAAATATTAAGTTGTTCCCCATTGCAGCATGTATCACCTCCTCACCTCATAAATATTTTTCTAAGATAATTTTAAGGCATGTATTCAATTATTAAAAAAATATATATATAAATAATGTATATTTCACTGTTAATGATGAGACATATATATAAATAAATATATATATATATATATATATATTAGTTTGTCAAATTTAGAGGAGCTTCAAGTCACTGATTTGAGAACAGAGACAAAAGTTTGACCACAGTAGCCTTACAGGGAGACCTGTCCCATTACAGTAATTACACACTATGCATGCTACTAAGCATTGGCCAAGTCACTTCAAAGCTGTCGGTCACACAGGTGTTTTAGGAATGTCCCTGCAGCTCCTTGTTATTGCTCATTAATTAGAGCTGCTCTCTGAGGAACTCCATATGAGGTTCTTCCCTCCGGTGGTTCACACGTCACATTCGACATGAACGCATCGTACTTATGCTGACTCATATTGTTTAGTGCCACCAATCACACACCTTCACCTGGGATGGCGTCCGAATGAGACCACAGGGGAGCTGCCAACTCTAAAAGCCCAACTGTAAAGCCTCTTACAGACACAATAAATTAACTGGAATAATACAGTCAGAAGTGTCAGGGGTTTTTTTTGGTTACATAAATCGCATTTATTGCCTCTGTCATTGGCTGCTGTTAAAATGGACCTATAGTTTAATAGCTTCACAATGCCATTGCAGGCATACAGGACCGTCTTCACATATGGCTTGGGAGGGTTTTCCATGGAGGCCAGATGCACATGAAAACAACCAGGGATTACAATATATACAAACAGAAAAGTAATAACTCCACAGTCATGGTAAGCTGGATTTTTCATGAGGTATTGATGGATTGTCATGAAAACAAAGCCTGATCTTTGCTGTGATTTCAAAATAAATACAATTGACAGTGTTTAAAAATGCATCTCAGATTTCTCCAAAACAGTCCCACCCCCCATATAATGAAGTATTCAAAGCTGCTTTGAATAAAAGTGCCATATATACATGTAAATGCAAATTTTCTTATAATTCCAAGTTTTTTGCAATATGAATTGTACATGGTTTCTATTATCAGTTTCCCAATATTAGGTGATTTTCAAAAAAACAAAATACTCAAAGTATCGTAAACTAGAATCACTTGCTACATTAAACTTGCCATGTAATGTTTTTTTTTTTACGGTAGCCATTGACTTCGGTGGAAGTCAATGCTGTCAACTTTTTGGTTAACAATATTCTTCAAAATATCTTCTTTTGTGTTCAACAGAAGAAACTGTGACAGAAATTTTGTTTTTGAATTTTCATTCTTCAAAAAAATAAAAATCTTTTAAAGAAATGATCACTGACAATAAACTTGCCATGTTATGTTTTTTTTTTTTTTTTTTTTGGCATGCTGATTCCTTCACTTTTTAAAAAATAATTGTCAAATACAATTGCTAGTATGCTATTAATCAATTTCAGACATACTCAAACAATGGAAGATGGGGAATGTTTGGAAATATTATTTTCTAGTGGTGCAGAAATAAAATACCTTTGGCATATTATAGATGGTCCAGAGAAACAAAGTCCAATCACTTGAAAAATGTTCTCACATGCTATTGTTTCTTTACATTTAAAGGTCCCATATTGTACACCTTTCTGGAGTTTTATGTGGTTTGGCAAAAGGAGAGTGGGACGGTGGGCGGTGCTCGGGGTGGTGACTGTGTAGTTCTGACGTCAACTTTTTACGGAAGTCACAACGGTTCTGAAAAATCACGGCTGCTTTATGCAGGCTGTGTGAATTTTACTGTGGACTGACTGTTTTGAAACTTATATGGTAGTTACATAGCACCTAGACATCAGTTATCATGAAAAAAGCCAGGAAATTTCAGTTTTGACAATATAGGACCTTTAAGGCCATGCGAAACTTGTTGACTTGAGGTTCACTATGGTGCTGTGTTAGGACAAATCGTCTTGCCGCATGGACTAAATTCAGCCAGATATACAGTACAGCTTCTCTGCACCACCTCCATAACCAAGTTATTTTTTGCTTCATGGATTAAAGGCTTACACACTTCAGAAGTTTCTCTCAGCCATCTTGTGCATCTGCTTAGCTTAGCTATACCGCATTTCCCCAACCAATGTGTTTTTTAAAGATCACAAACCATAAACACAGTAATTATGCTGTTAGAACTTGACAAGTTTGCAAATTAATCTGTTTGTAAGCAAATACATTTTGCAAGCCACACAGCATTTGGGATTTATAGGCAGAAATTGGCATGTAGGGAAATACCACAAAGAACGCTATAATTTGCATCAAGGTAAAACTTGTTCTACAGGGAATGCCAATACATAATATCAAGATATGGCTAAAAATAAAATGACCAATGCAGGTTTCTGGAAAAACATTGTGTCAATTGTTCAACTCAGATTGTACACCAAATGAACACTTCATGATAAGCATTAGAAACTATTTGTGAGAGAAACATGTAGTTAGCAAGCTTTGGCTCTGGCTTTAGTTTTGTTACAAAATTCTTATTTGGTGCATTTCTCTGTTAAATAATAATAATAATAATAATAATAATAATAATAAAATTATGGCTAGCCTCACAGTCACAACTTATTGGTGAGTTTTGGACATTTCACCGGTCAAGCCATCTGCTTTTCTCAAGGAGATATCCCTCCCACCACCCACAAAGTCAATGTTTGACGTGTGTTGGTGGGTTCTTTTTAAAACACCAAACTAAAGCTATTTCAGTTGTGCGTTGTGGTCATTGCCATGGTCTACATAAAGTACATGGTAGACAACCTCTGCTGTGTTAAGTGATGGACGGCTTGGCTCAATTTAAATCAGTCAATTACTCAGCTTGAAAATCGTGAATAAGCACCAACAAATAAATATTTTCACAATTGCAGTTTAATTGTACATAAATTGGTTCATATTTACTAGGGGTGTAACGGTACACAAAAATGATGGTCACGGTTCAGTATGTTTTCAGTAGTAGGGGGAAAAATAAACCACGTTTTCATTTTTAATAAACAGTGGTTTACTGAACAAAATATGTCTGTCTTTAAATAAACGAAAGTCTGTCAACATACACTGCAGTTTAAAGTGCTGTTGTAATTGGGGGAAGAGATGTGAAGTGTTTACACTTTTGGATGCAAAATATTTTAGTCAGAATTATTGTGCTCTCATTCTAATCCGCTTCATCTATTTGATGTGCATGTGTGCACCAGCACTCGTTCACTGAAGTCTGTGAAGTTCCTCAATCAAAATTTACTTTTGGACATGCCTGACAGTCACTCCGACTCAAAATGAGCCAAACTATGAACCGCTTATATGCACATGTGTGAACCAATGGTTTCTTATTGTTTAAATAAAAGGTGAGCTGTTGAAGACAAGTTTATTTACTTTATATGCTTTAGACATGTAAAGCATCCACGTTTCATTTCATTATTGGGTGCTTTAATAATTTAATTGCGTATATGTTACGTCATTGTGTGATGTTGAACCAGTTGAGTTTATTGAAACAAACTGTCCAAAAGAACCAGTTCAAGGAAAATAATCGTATTTCCCCGTTACCCGAGGCTACGGATTACAGGTAAATAATGTTCAGTTTCTTGCACAGAGCAATAATTTCACTTCATAAGACAAGACCTCAATGGCCACGGACACACTGCAGCTATATTTGGTTGTCAGTTCCCTTAATCTCATTCTGTACACACATCATTCACTAAAATATGGGAGTGACAACCGCATTCGACAACCGCATGAACTCCCGAAAAATACAGGTAGTGACAACTGCATTTACAGAAATTCTATGCAGTGTATACGGAACCGAACTGAACAACTACTTGTTAATGATGATGTCACGAGAAGCACACCAATGTGTATATATTGTCAAGCGTCAAGTGTTTACCTTAGATCTGACAGGATGGCAGAGAGAGCTGTATTATTGACCGAGCAGTTGCGGTCAACGTTGCTATGGTTGCCTCGCTGTTTCGGCATTTAAATGCGGTTGTCACTCCTGAAACTTGCAGTGTGTACGTGGCCAATATATCATCAGGGGCCAGGGGTAATAATGTGGTGTTCCTTGATATGCTTATACATATAAATATATATTAAATATATATATATATATATATATATGTATTCTCAAAAACAGGCAGCCATTGACTTGCATTTTATTAACCAGCAAGGACCACGGTTTCAGCTAAAAATCTTCATTACTTTTAAGAAAAAAAGTCACCTACATCTTGGATGGCCTGAGGAAGAGTAAATTAACAGCAAATTCTCATTTTGGGGTGAACTATCCCTTTAATTGGGTTTATTTCGTAATATAATTCTAGTTGCACTGTACACATATATTTTTTTAAAAAGATCATTGTGTAGTGACTTTGAGGTAACGATTTTATTACCTCAATGATAAACTCAATGACTATTTTATAAGTTCGTTGACTGTACTAACATGGTTAAGCTTTACATTATAGCAAAATAATATCTATATTTATCGAATAATATATATATATATATATATTTCATTTAACTTCTCGTTTACCTGTCTGGATGTTCCCCAACCACCTGGAACACACTAAGTAGGAATGTCTCATTGTGGAAGGCCCTGGTCACACACTCCTTGTAGATCCTGAATTCTGCGGCTGTGATGGCCTCTCCCTCTGGAATCTGGGACAGGTTGAATTTGTACTCTTTATGGTGTCTTCTCTGTGGCGACAGCTCTCTGTCATTTTCCACTGTCCAAAGACAAACACAAAGACAAACGATATATTTTTATATTTTAGCTACTATTGATGTATAATTTGCATTTTTGCATACTCTGGGTCACACTGACTATACAGTGGCAAGTTTGTGAGACATATCTGACAAATATGTTCTTGTCAAGAAAAACTAGTTAGTGTAAACCATGCCTCAATCCCAAGAGCTATTACGGGAACTTAAAAACACATTACAGAGACGTGGAAAGCTGGAAAAGGCAAAGAAGTATTGCACAAGACATTGCTAAAGATACCCTGTCTCTAAGTAAGTAAGTAAGTAAATAAATAAATAAATAAATAAATAAAAACTTGAACACTAAAACCTATTCCCAACTTGAAGCATGGTGGAGGGAGCATCATGGTTTAGCACTGCTTTGCTGCCTCGGAGTCTGAGCACTTCGCAGTCATTGAAAAAGAACAATGGATTCTAAAGTGTATAAATGCATTTTACAGGAGAATGTCAGCACAGCAATCCATGACATCAAGCTTTAGAAAGGCTAGGTGATGCAATTCATAGTTTTCAGTCACGTGACTGGCTCGAAGACCTGGCAGGCAAACATCCATAGAACTCAAAAGAATAATCCTCAAAAGAATAAAACAAAGATATGTGAACAAAATGCAAGTTTTGGCCATTAGCAATCCATATAAAGCAC